TCTCCTCCTCCTCCTCCTCCTCCACCTCCTCCTCTTCTTCTTCTTCTTCTTCTTCTTCTTCTTCTTCAAGGGAGAGAGTGTTTAGGCAAAGATGCCAGTTTTTTTGCATTCTTGATATGTGGCTGAACAAGAAGCGGGTTGGTAGCAGGTCAGATGCCCATTCCCTCTCGCCCTGTGTTGTCTACTCTGCGCATGCTTGAGGGGTGGCCTTGCCCCCAGGATCTGGGGTTTGGTTACCTCCCTCTACCCCTCTGCCTCTCCAATCTATTGCGAGTTTTTCTCAGATCCATCCAGGAAAGCCAGAATGTTTGCAGGTTACATTTGTAATTAGCTTTCCTCCCTTTCCTTTCCTTTTCAGGAATTAATGAAACAGTTGAATGGAATCCAGGTAAGTTTTTGTTGGGGGGGGAGGCAAGCTTCTGCCCTCTTTAACCCTCCCCCACCCAAGCTGTTCCCTTATGGAGCTCCGTAAGATCAGTAGTCAATGTAGTGGTTAAGAGTGGCAACCTAGTACCTGGGAGCCCTGGGTTCGAATTCCGACTTGTGCCATGGAAGCTTACTGGGTGATCATGGGCCAGTCACATTCTCTCGGCCTCACCTACCTCGCAGGGTTGTTGCGAGGGGGAGAATGGAGGAGAGGAGAAAGCTGTAAACCGCCTCGGGTCCCCACTGGGGAGGAAAACGGGCTATAAATGAATTAGATAAATAAATAGAATAAACCAAGCAGAACCAAGCAGAACCATTCTGTTTGGGGAGGGGGTCAAGGTGAGGTTACATCTCTGTGCAAAAGTCCTTCCCCTGAACGTACGTATTTCTTCAAACATTTAAGTTTGGTCCAGCAGTTAGAAGTGCAGACTCTAATCTGGGAGAACCGGATTCTAATTCTCCACTCCTCCACATGCAGCCAGCTGGGTGACCCTGGGTCAGTCACAAGTTCTCTCAGAGCCATTATCTTACAAGCAGTTCTCTAAAGAGCTCTCTCAGCCCCGCCTACCTCCCAGGCTCTCTGTTGTGGGAAGGGGGAAGGGGAAGGAGTTTGTGAGCCGCTCTGAGACTCCTTCGGGTAGTGAAGGGCGGGGTATCAACCCAATCTCTTCTTCTTCTTCTTCTTATATCCCACCTTTCCTCGTGGTTTGAGGCTGCTTACGATAATAGTTGAAAACATTCCATTTTAAACACCGAAATTAAAATAGCAAGCCCCAAGTCTCCCCCCCACTTAAAAGATGCCTGCTATTCAACCTCCCCCCCACCCCAAAGCCCTGGCAAACAGGCCGGCCTCACAGCGCCTCCTGAAGATCTCCTAAGAGGCGGACCCCTTCACCTCTTCAGGGAGCTCGTTCCACAGAGCTGGGGCCACGATGGAAAAGGCCCCGGCTCTGGTCGATGCCAGACGGGGCCCCCAAAGTGGTGGGCTAGCCCACAGATGGCGGCCTGATGACTGCAGGTGGTGCACCGGGACGTGTCGAAGAAGAAGAGAAGAAGAGATTGGATTTATACCCTGCCCTTCACTCGGAGTCTCAGAGCGGCTGACAATCTCCTTTCCCTTCCTCCCCCCACGACAGATGCCCTGTGAGGTAGGGGGGCTGAGAGAGCTCTCTCGAGGACTGCCCTTGAGAGAACAGCTCCGAGAGAACTTGTGCCTGACCTGAGGTCACACCAGCAGCTGCATGTGGCGGAGTGGGGGAATCACACCCGGTTCTCCCAGATCGGAGTCTGCGCTCCTCACCACGACACCAAACAGTCCTTCAACGATGTGGGGCCGGGGTCATGATGGGCTTGAAACCGGCACCTTGCCCTGAACTCAGAGACGGCTGGCAGCCAATGCGGCTGTTTCAAAACAGGCAACGTATCTTCCTGGCAGCAGTCAGAATTCTGGACTGGCCGCTCCCACACAGGAAGCTGGTGTTGTCTCAAGTCATTGGGGGGGGGGGACTGAAAAATTCCACCTCACCAGCCTGCCGCCATCGCCCTGGTCCCTGAAACCTGGAACGCAGTCTCTCCCGAAGCCTTGATGTGGCCCCGTGTGAACTAAGCAACCCGTCTTCCATTCTCCCAGAATGCAGAAGCGGTCCACTTTTTCTGCAACTACGAGGAGAGCCGAGGGAACTACCTTGTCGACGCGGACGGGAACCGCATGTTGGATCTCTACTCACAGATTTCTTCCATACCGATAGGTAAGGCTCCGGCATGTGGAGCAGCATTCTCTCTCCAGGTGGAATTCCCTTTCAGTAGATGCAGTGAGAGTGACCCTGCTTCGCCGGCTGTGAAAAATGGATTGAAACCAGTGGAGCACCCCCTTTATTCCCTGAGCGGTTTTCATGCGACGTCACAGAATGCTCACAGACATTCCAGCTGTTGGGTCTGAATTTTTTTAATTTATTCGCTTGATAACGATTTGCTGCAGGTCTCATTTTCGGGAGACCACGGTATACGGTAGTAACATATCAAACGAAGAAATTAAAAATTCAGCCCCAGCTGTTGGAATGTTTGGGAGCATTCCGTGACGTCGCATTCCAACAGCTCAGCAGACAAATGAAAATATACAAGGCGAGAACCTGAGAAAAAAAGCATGGGAAATGCAGGACAGGTCAACAGCATGTTAAGATGAAACTAGCAGTGCTATTCAAATAAAACCAGGCACAAATGCCCGAAGAAATTAAAAAAAAAAAAATTGGCCAGCTGCTAAAAAGTTAACAGATGTGGGACCAGGCGAAGTGTTAGTGTCGAGGTGCCTCAGCAGAGAAGTGTTTATCCTTTGTGGCCACCTGCCTGACTTCAAAGTGCTGCTACCTGAAGTGTGGCCTCTGTTGCAGATCTCAAAAAAAAAACCCGAGCCAGCTGTCGTTTGCATGTGCCAGCAACGGAATGAGACAAACAGGGCAGCTTCTGTGAGGGAAGGGAGAGGTCAGCATGGCTAGGGGGAAATCAAGCAGAGCTACGGCCCAGAAACGGGTGCTGAGATTGGGACAATGGGAGATGTGTGTGGTGAAATGGGCCCAGGAGGAGGTAAAATTTATCCAGAGGTTTATGAGGGGTGTCAGGAAAAGCCTTGGGGAACAGGGATGTCGTTGTTCCGATGGTGAAAAGCAAGACGTCAGGAGGAAGCTATGGGGGCCGGGCGGGGCCAAATTTCACAATCTAATCCGAACGATGTTAAAGGGCTTTGGGTCCCCATCGAGGAGAAATGCGTGGTATATATTAAGTAAACAAATCATTACGAATCTGCCCCAGTCTTCGGCCGCAGATCTCGAATTCGAGGCAACGGCGACCCAAAGTTCTTTTAAAGTTGAGATCTGAAAGAGACGTCCAGAAGCAGAGTGTCAGATGAGGCTAGAGACTTTTGTAGGTTAGCTTTTGCATAATCCTCCGGAGGCGAACTGCCAAAGAAGCAGAGTCCAGCGAAAGAGGAGGAATGCAAATTACTGGCCATGGTGTATGTTGTTTTCCGCTAGCTGCTGTGTGTACATGTTGCGTTGGAGTAGTTTAAGGAAACAAAGCTGTTGGAGGAATGCCACTAAAATTCCCGTAAAAAAAACGGAGGTTCTTTTTTCCGGAGTTGTTCTCCTAAACACCAAAATGTTGGCTGGCTTGTTGCGGTGCTACGGAATATTCACAAGCATTTTAACTGCTCGGAGGTGAAGGCATCAGCAGTAGAGTATAACAAACAACCACATTTCTCAGGCAGTCATTCTTCCGTTCCTTTCTCTTTCCTAAAAAAAACACCCCCCAAAACAAAACAGCCAGAGGGGCTTAGGACATTTTGATGTACCCTTAATCTCTTACTGCTTGTAAGCTGCACAAATCATGTCTGTTCTAAGCCAGTGGATATTTGTCTGCCCTTTCTTCCACTCTAGGGTACAGCCATCCGTCTCTAATCAAACTTCTCCAGCAGCCCCAGAATCTGGTAAGCGTCTCCTTTTCAAAGTCGCCCATACAAATTCCGCCCACCTCTGGCTCCTGTTTGTGAAAGCTCGTTAATATTCCTGATTTGTGAATCCCTTGGAATGTCGTCAGACACATACCGATGTCTCGGTTCCTCTCTGGTTTTGGGGAAAGCACAGCAGTTGTTTTCTCCCCCAGAAGAAAACACCCGGGATATCTGCCTCTAGGAATTCGGGCCGCTCGATTCTCTCATCTCCTTTCTGTAACCAGACCAGCGACACCCCTGCCTCCTCTCTGCCCTTCACTGTTTTCCTTGTGCCATTTTCCTGCAAGGCTATTTACCTGTTAAGTACCTCAAGGGGTTGGATCAGGGAACCACGGCTATTTCTGACAAGGGATTGGACCAAACCTCCTGAGGGCGACGGCATCTCTCCAGGCCGTGGTACCTTTTCCGGGACAACTATCACCGTAAATAGTATTGCACCAAAATGTTGCAGACAGGAGTGGCAGGCAGGGCGACGGTATCTTTCCAGGCCATGATGTCTTTCCCAGGGCCACTGTCACTATAAATAGTATTGCACCAAAATGTTGCAGATGGGACTGGGGTACTCTCTGCCACCGTGAGTGAGGTTTGTCCATTACCGGTGGCAGGCCGGCCCCTCCTGTAGTTGAACCAGGGGTCGATTCGGGGAATCGCGGGGGATCGC